TCTTGAGGGGGAAAAAGGTGTGGGGGATGCGGGAAGAGACTGGACAAAAATCCTGCACCTATGGATGAGGACAGTGGGTGGGGGGGACTGAGGGTGGAGGGTAGGATGGGAACTGGGTTGAGGGGAGCTATGGGTGGAAAAAAGAGGAACAACTGTAATAATCTGAACAATAAAGATTTAATTAAAGAAAATAACCATCATTTTAAAAGAAACTGTTGTGGGGAGAGTCCAACAGCAGTTGGTGGGGGAAGGTAAGTAAATTAATGTCTATGGAAGAGATTGAAGATATTACTGTTGACCAAGTTAACCATCTCTACACTGGAGTTTAGAGAAAAAGTTAATGGAAATTTGTGAATTATCTTCCAGAGTCAATCCCAAGGCCACACAGAAGCCCCTCCCCATGATCTGCTGGACATACCTCGCTGGCATTTACCACACAAGAAAGGATCTTTAGGTATCCAACCCCTCTCTGTCCTACTAAACTAGTCATGTCTGAAAGGCAATGCACAATGACAGTTACTAGAAAAAGACCTTGCATATGATATAAGTTTAGCAAATGTTTGTTAGATAGGAGTTATTATTGTAATTATTTATCTGAAATCATTTATCTATCCCCCCAAAAAATAATCTCTTTGAAGGAAGAAACTGTGTTTTATTTACCCTCTATCACTTTTCTGATACAATAATGGACACACATAAAATGATTGGACATGAATTCACAGAATGGTCTCTTTTTTAAAATCCTCACCTGAGGATATGTTTACCTGAGGATGTTTGTTTGTTTGTTTTTAAATTTATCTTTATTGTTGAAAGTATTACAGATGTGCCCCTTTTCCCCCACATTGAAAGTAAAATATCACATGATTCACTCATATGTAGAATCTAATGAACAAGATAAACTGACAAACAAAATAGGTCCAGAGACATAAGATCTCCTGCCCCTCTCCAGGCTTTTGCTGCACTATTGTCCATGTCCCTGGGTTGTGCATATCTATATATATATAGAAGGCTAATATGCTAAGTGTCCGACCATCCAGGTAATGATGTCACGTAGCAACACCCGGCTTCCTCTCCCTAGCGACTAGCCTCCTTGGAGTTTCTTCATCTCAGGAGCACAACTTGCTT